TTCTCTCTGTAACTGTCAAGATAGATAGATAGAGAGAGAGAGAAACATTGAGATTGAGGTTTCAGTTGGGAACTGAGACCCTGCAGACATCCTGTAAGTATGGTGAGAACCGAGCAGAGCAAACACTGTCGGCTGAGTGCGCAGGAGCCGAGGCTCGTCTGTTAGCTGTCGTTACAGAATCCTTGCCGCCACCCTGTCCCTAGCAGTGTGCTGTGCTGTGCTGTGTTGTGCTGTGGAGAAGCGTTGTGATGCTGGGCTGGGGCAGGCCCTGTGCTCACGGCCCCCCGTGTCTGCTCTTACAGAGGAGGAGACGCACCCTGTGGACCTGAGCTCGCTCTCCAGTAAGCTGCTCCCGGGCTTCACCACGCTGGGCTTCAAGGACGAGAGAAGGCACAAAGGTAAGGGGCTGAGGCGGCAGAGCGCACGGCGCTGGTGATGCAGGGTCACAGGGTCTGCTCGCTGCTGTTCTGGCCGCGGCTGCGGTCCGGCTTTAGAAACCGTGTAACTAAGGTTTGGTAAGACGGGAATAGAATCAGATCATCTGAGGTCCTTTCTGCTTCTTGCTCTTTATTGGTGGGTGTGGCACACTCCCAAGCTTCGAGCAGTTCTCCTGTGAGCGCCCAGTGTCCACCGGGCTAGCTGACCTCAGTGGTGATCCAGTGGGAATTTAATTTCTTCCAGCAGAATGCCCCCCGCAATCCACGGGAGGGTAGCTGCCGAGAGCCCTGTGCGTGGTGATGGTGGCAGGGCGAGGAGGTCATGCGGGGGCACGTGGGTGTGCTGGCTGCCTGGGCAGTAGTGGCATTTGTACCTGTGGCTGTTTCACATCTTGTACTGGGCATTCTGGTCGATTTGGAGTGCATACATGTGCATGAACAGTTTGTGCACATGTGCGTGTGTGTTGCAAGGCTACATACTTTTTGATTCCCATCCTGGGTTCAGTGTTTCTTTCCATTTTCTGTCCCCATGACATTTACAGAAGTGTTCTTTCTGAGGTCCAGCAGTGTCTGTCTCCTCCTCTCCCGTCCTCCACCATTGCGTCCTGTCTGACAGCTGTGGTCAGGTCCCATCCCTGTCTGTCTCCCTGTCTCCACTGTTGCTTCCTGTCCGACAGTTGTGGTCACTTTTTTTTTTTTTTTAATATTTATTTATTTGAGAGGCAGAGTTATAGACAGAGAGGAGAGACAGAGAGAGGGGTCTTGCATCTGCTGGTTCACTCCCCAAATGGCTGCAAGGGCTGGAGTTGGGCCAATCCGAAGCTAGGAGCCAGGAGCTTCTCTGGGTCTCCCTACGCAGGTGCAGGGGCCCAAGGACTTGGCCCGTCTTCTACTGCTTTCCCAGGCCATAGCAGAGAGCTGGATCAGAAGAGGAGCAGCTGGGACTAGAACAAGTGCCCTTATGGGTTGCCTGGCGGTGTTTGGGTTGTCACCAGCAGTGGGGTTGCTCCTGGGAAGAGGCTGGGAGTGCTGTAACACTCTGCAGCGTGCAGGACCTGGCACTGAGCATGCTGGTCCCTGGTGTCACCCTTAGGAGGCTGAGAAACCCTGTACTCTGTGCACATCTTAATTGATGTGCTCACAGGAGCCAACGCTGTACAGGCCGCAGGGTGGGATTCTGTGACCTTGCTGGGCAGAGCCCTCGGCACCTCTGTCCAGTCCCCTGGCAGCTCTGCTGTGGGTCAGGGGTCATTCCTTACAGTGAGGTAGAGCCTTTCCCTGCAGTCGTGTGGAGGTATAAAACAAGGTTAAGTTGATTGTGCTAGTTCACACAGACAGCTTTTATTACTTCAGTTAGACTTGGAGCAGAAATTTCAGAGAGAGGACAGGGGTGGGGAGCAGCTGTGCGAGCGGGTGTGGTTGGTCAACCCAGGAGAGACAGGAGTGTAGCTGTGTGAGTGTGCTGGGTGACAGACTGACTCTGTTCCCTTTGCTCTCCTTGTCCTCTTAGTCACGTTTCTCTCCAGTGCTAGCACCGCGCTCTCCATGCAGAATAACTCAGTGTTCGGAGACTTGAAATCGGATGAGACAGAGCTGCTGTATTCAGCCTATGGAGATGAGACGGGCGTGCAGTGTGCACTGAGGTAGGCTTGGCCACACGTCCACACCCAGCCTTGTGAGTGGCTGAGGGCGATCTTTGAACACAGGGGGGAGGCCCCTGGCAGCGGCGCAGGTGTCACGTGCAGGCATCCGTCGGTCTGCTGCAGCCCACCTGGAAGACAGTCATCACCTCGGAGAAGGCAGTGCTCCAGGCTGCAGCTTAGGAGGAGGGTGGGGGTGTGTCTGTGTGCGCGAGTACACCTGAGTTTACATAAGTTATGTTCCCTGGGTGCACTGACTCGTGTTCTCAGTGGCTGTGTTAGTCCAGTGGGGTGACTGCAACAGGTACCGCAGCCTGTTGCTCCTAAAGTCTGAGAGTCTGGAATCCAGGTGTGGACAGGATTGGCTCCTCCCGAGGCCTCTCTCGGGCTTGCACACACTGTCTTCTCCAGTATCTTCATGTAATTGTGCTTCCGTGTGTGTCTGTTTAATCACTTCATTTTTGTTATTTATTTATTTGAGAGGTAGAGTTGTAGATGGAGAGGGAGAGACAGAAAGGTCTTCTATCCTCTGGTTCACTCCCCAAATGGCTGCAATGGCTGGAGCTGGGCTCATCCAAAGCCAGGAGTCAGGAGCCAGGAGCACTTCTGAGTGTCCAACACAGGTGCAGGGGCCTAAGCACTTGGGCCATCTCCCACTGCTTTCTCAGGCCATGGCAGAGGGCTATACTGGAAGAGGAGCAGCCAGGACACAAACCGGCACCTATATGGGATGCCGGCACCGCAAGTGGAGGCTTAGCCTACTATGCCACAGCGCTGGCCCAGTCCCCTCTCTTTATAAGGGTACCCATCAGACTGGATCAGGGCCCACCTGAGTGACGCCGTTGAATCACCTCTTTAAAGTCCCTCTCTCCAAGTGCAGTCACATTCTGAGATAGTGAACAAAACAGGACGTGAGCAGAAATGTGAAGGCACAGAGTTCAGCCCATCATGGGGATTCAAACGTAATAATAAGGACATAGATCTAGTAATGTGTTTCTTTTGGACCGTTTTTGTGTTTTCTGTGGCAGAATGGAAATGGGTCACTCTTGTAGAATTTAGTAATTTCTCTGGGAAAAGTTTATTTTATAAGCCTCTAAGAAATAAAATCTTCACATCTCAGATCTTTGTTTAGTCCAAAAAAATTACAGAGTATGTATGAAATACAGACAATTCATTTAGCCCCTGAGAAAGTAAATGAATACCTAATCCAGATTTTGTGACCAAAAAAAAAAAAAAAAAGTAGAAATGGGAAACTGAGGAAGACACTTATTGCAGGACAGAATGGTGCCCAAGTAGAAACCGAAGGGCTGGTGACCTCACCCTGTGGAGCCCAGGCCCTAACTGCCCTGTGTTTCCCTGTTGGCAGTCACAGCTCCTCAAGGACACCGATCACTGGGTGTCCCACACCTGCGGCCCCCAGACCTGCCTGCCTTCCCCAGGGCTCCTGGTGCTCGTCCAGGTCTGTGTGCTCTGCAGTGTGGCTCCTCGCGAGGGCCGTGGGCGCACCCTGGGACGAGCGCCCCCTGGGACGAGCCCGAGCTCAGCTGTGCCCTCGAGGTCTCCCTCTAAGCCGCGCTGCTCTGCAGTCGGGCAGGGAGGTTTCCTGCTTCCTGGCGCAGGTCTCCATCCCTGTGTGGAGGGCTCAGGCTGTCGGCTCACAGTCTGAGCCAGCAGCCATCTCTTCCTCTCAGGGCAGGCGCCCTGTTGAGGACTCCACACGGTTGAAGTCTAGGACTGCACTTCTGTTCCATGCCTACTGTCTAATTTTGTTTTACTTATGTTTTTTAAAGCAAACACATTCATGTCCAAAAATCAAAACTATGCAAAAAAGTATATGTTGTCCTGCCCCCGTGCCTGCTTGGTCATTTACTACAATCTGCTTGTATTTAAAATGCAAAACTAGTAGATAGGAATAAATCTGTTGATACAATCAGCAAAGCACATTTCTACACTTGTGTGTATATATTTGTGTACTGTCTCATTTTGGATCACGGACCAATTTGAAAATGTAATGAAAACTGTAGGCCGGCACTGTGGCGCACTAGGTTAATTCTCCGCCTGTGGCGCTGGCATCCCATATGGGCGCCGGGTTCTAGCCCCGGTTGCTCCTCTTCCAGTCCAGCTCTCTGCTGTGGCCCCAGAGGGCAGTGGAGGATGGCCCAAGTGCTTGGGCCCTGCACCCGCATGGGAGACCAGGAAGAGGCAACTGGCTCCTGGCTTCGGATCGGCACAGCGCCGGCTGTAGTGGCCATTTGGGGAGTGAACCGACGGAGGGAGGACCTTTCTCTCTGTCTCTCTCACTGTCTATAACTCTACCTGTCAAATAAAAAAATTAAAAAATTAAATGAAAAAACCTGTCAACCCGCTCTCCTAAGGATTCGAAGCCGGGAGGTTCTCGGCGAGGTGTCTGAGGCAGTGTGCGACGTGCAGGCCTCTGCAGTCAGGGCTGCGGTGACTGGCGGGTGGCAGTGTCGTGCAGGTGGAGGCTGCGGTGACTGGCGGGTGGCAGTGTCGTGCAGGTGGGGCTGCAGCCCTCTCCCATGACTGGCGGGTGGCAGTGTCGTGCAGGTGGAGTCTGCGGTGACTGGCGGGTGGCAGTGTCGTGCAGGTGGGGTCTGCGGTGACTGTCATGAGGTGGGGCTGCAGCCCTCTCCCATGACTGGCGGGTGGCAGTGTCGTGCAGTGACTGGCGGGTGGCAGTGTCGTGCAGGTGGGTCTGCAGCCCTCTCCCATGACTGGCGGGTGGCAGTGTCGTGCAGGTGGGTCTGCAGCCCTCTCCCATGACTGGCGGGTGGCAGTGTCGTGCAGTCAGGGCTGCGGTGACTGTCGTGCAGGTGGGGCTGCAGCCCTCCCCCAGGATGTTCTCACGTGGTCCCTTCTAGCCTGCAGGAGTTTGTGAAGGATGCTGGGAGCTACAGCAAGAAGATGGTGGACGAGCTCCTGGACCAGATCACAGGCGGGGACCACTCAAGGATGCTGTTCCAGCTGAAGCAGGTGAGCGCAGGCCCTCAGCCCGCCCTGGGCCTCTCCTCGCGTCAGGATGGGTGTGCTGCTTGAGGGCATCTCTAGCTGTCTTCCTTCAGGACGTGAGTTTTGCTTTGAACAGTTGATTATGGGGGCCCATGTCGTAGCACAGCTTCCAGTGCCTGCACCCCATACCAGTGCCAGTGTGAGTCTCGGCTGCTGCACTTCCTGGAGAAGGCAGTGGAAGATGACTCAGGTGGCTGGGCCCCGCCACCCTTGTGGAAGACCAGGATGGAGCGCTAGGCTCCTGGCTTTGGCCTGGCCCAGCCCTGCTGTCATGGCCATTTGGGGAGTGAACCAGTGGGTAGAAGCTCTCACTCTCTCTGTCTCCCTGTCTCTCTGACTTTCAAATAAACAAATAAAACGTAACAAGATCAACAGTTCATTATCGCTTCTGGAAACTCTGTGACATCCTCATCGCTTTGTGGCACCAGATTTCTTGGATCCGCCATCTCCCTTCTTCCAGAAACTGTGAATTTAACCTAGCACTAACTGATACTCAGTGCCAAAATCCATGCCATGGAAGAAAACTTATTTGCAGAAATGGACCTTGAAGCAATGGCGTTATTTCTGTTTAAAAGTAGGGGTCAGGTGTTTATCCTACTGGTTAAGGTGCCCTCATTCCACTCTGTAGTGCCTGGGCCCCATTCCTGGTTCCAGTTTCCTCCCAGTGAAGACCCTAGGAGGCAGTGGTGATGGCTCAAGTACTTGGGTCCCTGCCACCTACATGAGAGACCTGGGTTCTGTTCCAGGCTCCCAGCCTTGGCCCCAACCTTTATAACCCTCTAAGGAGTGAACCAGCCAACTGAGGCTTTATCTGCCTTACCTCTCTCTCACAAATTAAAAAAAAGTCAGTGAAAATCCTAAGTGATTCACAGAATTATCATTCTGAACCGAGACCCCAGGCTGGCGCCGCGGCTCACTAGGCTAATCCTCCGCCTGCGGCACCGGCACCCCGGATTCTGTCCCGGTTGCTCCTCTTCCAGTCCAGCTCTCTGCTGTGGCCCGGGAAGGCAGTGGAGGATGGCCCAAGTGCTTGGGCCCTGCACCCGCATGGGAGACCAGGAGAAGGCACCTGGCTCCTGGCTTTGGATCGGCGCAGTGCACCGGCCGGCCGTGGCGGCCATCTTGGGTGTGAACCAACGGAAAAGGAAGACCTTTCTCTCTGTCTCTCTCTCACTGTCTAACTCTACCTGTCAAATAAATAAATAAATAATAAATAATCTACCAGTAGCTTCCCATCTCTTAAAAAAAAACAGAGACCCCAGGCAGAAGAGGGCACGCTCCTGCCTGCCTTTGAGGTTGTGCACAGTGCTGGGGTGTCTGAAGGTCTCGCTGCCGTCTCAGCCTGGGGTGGCAGCACTGCGGAGGCCGACGGCCCTGTTCCCCTGGGCGTGTCCTGGGAGGGGTCCACTCGTGTGTCCCACACACACCTGCCTGCTGTGGGACTTGAGCAGGTCTCAGGTGCCTGTCTGCTGCAGGTTGAGCCACCAGTGTTGCCTAAGCTGTCTGGATCTGGCTACAACACCTGACTTCTTCCTGACGCAGCACTGGCGTTCTCTCCTTCATCCGTCTTTGGCGGCGGGGGCACTGCCCTGGCACCACCTCCTGGAGGAGAGAATAACGGTGGTCCAAGCGGGTTATAAAGACCCTGGCCAGACCCCCACCTTGACCTGTGAATAGCACCCAGCTTCTGTGCTGGGAGGGGAGGAACCTGGGTGTCCCGCTGTAAATTGCCTTCGAAACACTGATGTCTCGCCTGTTGCTTTGCAGAGGAGAAATGTTCGCACGAAACCTCCGGATGATGTGAAGGTGGGTGTTGGGAGCATGTGAGGGAAGCCTGGTGTGCAGGTTCTCTGGGGCGTTGAGGTGCAGGGTGTGAGGGGAGCGCATCTGTCGTTTGATGGAGAAGCTGGTCAGCTTTCTGACGGAGGAGATGAAATAGTAGTGTTCTCCCCACCCCCATTTCTAAAGACTCGAGGTAAGGAGGCCAGGCTGTAGTACATTCTTCCAGGTCTCGCAGCTGGAGTTTCAGAACAGTGAGCCTGACCTGCCGTCCTCAGGGAGGGGGGCAGGGAGCAGGACTGTCCCGGGCCAGGGCTGCCAAGCTTGTCTGACAGTGAGGAGGCCTTGCCTGGGTCAGCAGGTGTGGATTTAGTCTTGGGTCCCTGGGAGCTGTGAGACCTCAGCCCTCGGCGTGACCTGAGGGTGGAAGCTGCACTGCTGGTGCTGACCAGAGAGCGCCACGGGTGGCTGTAGGCTCACCTGGGGCCACGCCTGGCTGGAGAGAGGGTGCCGGGGCCTGGGGTCTGCTGCTTTGTGACTTCATGCCTGTTGTCTTCCTCCGTTTTGTTGGTCTGAGTAGACTTCTCTGCGGAGTGTGTTTGTGCCTCCGTTTGTGTGCTTAGACGCTGTGAACAGGGCGGGTCTCGTATCCCTTACTGAGGGGTGGACCCAGGCTTGGCAGATGATCAGAGGTTTCGGGAGCCAGTATGGAGGGCATCTCCTCTTGTCTGCTCGCCCTGTGTTCATAGAACCTTCACGCCTGTCTCATTGTCCACAGGTTGGGGACACGCTGGGAGAGGCCGGTGCCTCTGCTTTGGACTTCACCTCCATGCGGCCCTGCCCCGAGGTCTCACTGGACATCTCCATGCTGGGTGCTCTGGGTGAGTTGCATGAGGTGCTTTTGCTGCCCTGCTCCTGCGACGCTGTGAGGCCCCGAGGGAGGAATTCTTGGTTTCCCAGAGTCCTCTGAGCCACCCAGCACCTGACCAGGGGATTGGGCGAAGGAACTGGGTTCATAGCCAGTCTGTCAGGAGCACAGGTAAAACCACCTGGGGCTGTGCCGGGCGTGGGAGTGGGGTCCTGAGAACCAAGCCCTAAGCTGTGGGCTCTGGTTTGCACTGAACTGAACCGGAGGGTGCTCGGCTGGTTTCCTGCAGAGCTGCCGGCTGTGGGTGCCAGGGCTGTGTGAAGTGCAAATGAGAGTAGAAAAAGCTGTGCATTTCCAGACAGGCTGGCCCACCTGGTAGCTGCGGAGGGGCCCCACTGCCCTCAGGACCACCCACACTGGGCTTACCTGTGTCTGTGTTGTGACTTGGGCTGCACCTGTACAGCTGGGGCTCTGCAGGCAGTGTGCAGGTCAGTGAGTACTGGCGCAGGGCCTGCTCTCGGGCGACCGTCAGGAAGGGCCTCTTCTTCCCGATCCCGTGCACTGCGCTGGTGCTGACGAGCCATCTCTGCTGCCCATGGTCGGGTTTCGCAGTGTCTCCTTCCTCACGGCACTTGGAACACAGCTGCTTTCCAGGTCCCCAGCCCCACCCCAATCCCAGGGACATGTGGCAATGCCTGGAGAGTTGTCATGTGGGGGTGGTTCTGGCAGAGCCCCACTGGGTAGCCTGCTCTGCATCCTGCTGTGTGGTGACCCCGTGTCGACTGCGGAGGCTGAGAAACCCTGCCGCACCGTCACGTGGGTGTGGGGAAGCTTTGTTTTTGTTACTCATTTTATTGGAAAGGCAGAGAGACAGATCTCCCGATGTCCACTGGTTTATTCCCCAAATACCTGCAAGAGCCAGGGCTGGGCCAGGCCAAATCCAGGAGCCAGTTGGGTCACCTGTGTGGGTGCAGGGACCCAAGCACTTGAACCTCCCCTGCTGCTCCCAGATCAGAAGGCAAGGAACTAGGACTCACACCGCCCCGCAGTGTGGGATGTGGCACCTACCCACTGTGCCAGTGCTGCCCCTCGGGGAGCTGTTTGAAGAGCGAGGAGCACGGCCTTGCCTTGTCACCAGCCCCACGCCGCCTTCCCTTCGCCGTGCTTTTAGATCATTTGTATTTGGTGCAATCACCAGCTTGCCATCTTGCTCTGTTTTCCCCTCAACTGTGTCAAGATCCCCACAGCCACCCCAGGTTCGGTGATCCGCTAGGAGAACTGAGGCAATGGAAGGCACAGAGCAGAATCGGCAGGCCCCGGCGTCCAGGGGTTCCTCCCAGGGGAGTCCCCACGTGGCACCCTCCACCTGGCACACAACCAGGTCCAGACTACAGGAGGAGAGCAGGGCGTTGGTGCAGTCACAGTGTCTGCCCAAACAGTGGAGGTGCAGGGCGCCCCTCGTTAGCTGTGCTGGGACTCCCGAGGTGCAGGTCCTCAGTCCTCCCCTGTGGCCTGCAGCCTGACGGTGGTGGGAACTTTCCACACAGCAGCTCTTCTCTACCTCAGCACTTGTAAGAGTTTCACCTGCTTTCTTTTTCTTTAAGATTTATTTATTTATTTGAAAGTCAGAGTTACAGAGAGAAGGAGAGGCAAAGAAAGAGATAGGTCTTCTATCCACTGGGTCACTTTCCAATTGGCCGTAACGGTTGGAGCTGCGCTGATCTGAAGCTAGGTGCCAGGAGCTTCTTCCTGGTCTCCCATGCAGGTGCAGGGGCCCGAGATGGACTAAGGCCATCTTCTGCTGCTATCCCAGGTCATAGCAGAGAGCTGGATTGGAAGTAGAGCAGCCAGGACTTAAACTGTCGCTCATATGGGATGCCCGCACTGCAGGCAGTGGCTTTACCCGCTGTGCCACAGTGCCAGCCCCAGAGGTTTATAACTTCCATCGCATAGGGAAATTCTGAATTCTGATGCCTTCAGCAGCCAGCACCTGCCCTTTTCCTGGCCTCTGAGGAGGCCTCATGTGAGCCCTGAGGCTGTCTGCCTCTGTCCTCTTTCTCTGGACCCTGGAGCTCCTCCCGAGTCCTCCCGTGTTGGCTGTGGCCCCAATGGACATTCTTCTCTGGCACTCCCGTCTGCTCTCCTCACGCCGTCCCCTTGTCACCTCTCTCGCTTGTGTTTCCTTTGCCTTCTGAAACACGTGGAGCATTGCTGGTTTCTGACTGCTCTTCCCTTCTGAGTTCTCTGTGGGTTTTGGTCATTTGCTTATTTGCACACCAGAAGCTTATCTGTTGGATGTCAGACAGGGTCTGCACCCTGGGCACTCGCGTGGGCTGCACACCTCTGGGTCCTGGTGGCCTTTTCCTGAGGCTGTTGGGTGGTTGGAGCCCCCTGGATCCTTTCCAGGCATTGCCAGGCTGGACCCAGAGCCCTCCTTGCTGTTGGGTACAGGCAGGCCCCTCTTGGCTACCGGCTTCTGAGGGCTTGAGCAGACACCCAGCTGGTGGGACACACGTCATCAGCTGTGGGTAGCTGGGCCATCTGTGGTGCCCTTCCTGGCCTGCACCTTTCTCTCTCAGGCTCAGCTGGGTGTTTTGCTGAGACACGGGAGTGAGTGCAGATCTGGCTGTGGCTTGAAGCTGCCGCAGACCCATGCCGCACCCGTGTTCGGCTTTCTGATTGTTGATACAGGAGGTCAGCCACAGTCTGGTGTGGTCCTCTGTCGTGGCAAAGCTTTCCACAGTATGAGTGTGTCAGATTGGGTGTGGGGCATGGCTTGTGCAAAAGACTTTGGGTGTTCGCTGCCCCTGCCCTGGAGGCCTCCCACTGTATAGTCCTGACCTCGAGCTCAGAGAGCTTTTCTGCTGTGAGTTCTTCCAGCGCAGTTGTGCAGTGCTTGTCCTCCTGGGCCCAGGGCCGGAGCTGACCGACGCCATGTCCCCTAGGGAAAGTGAAGAAGGAGCTACACCACGATGACGGCCACTTGAGCTTGGACGAGACAACCAAGCTCCTGCAGGACCTGCATGAAGCGCAGGCAGAGCGTGGAGGCTCCCGACCCTCATCTAACCTCAGTTCCCTTTCCAACACCTCTGAGCGGGATCCTCACCATCTGGGTAAGGTGGCCTCAGCCAGGCAGGCTGATGTGCACAGGTGCTGGTGGCCTGTGACGTGGACGTGGCTGGAAGGTCAGACCGTGGCCTCTGGCCCATGGGGCTACGTGCAGTCGGGACATCCTTGTCCTGGCCTCCTTGGAGGAGCTGCACCTACCTGTGTGGCGGTCCAGGTGAACTTTCGGGAATGTTTGCTTCTGTCCCGGATTCGTCCCCGTGGTCCTTTCTGCAGTACAGACATTGCCCCTCCATAGATCCCGGTGTTCAGTGGTGCTGTCAGGGACCGTGACCTCCTCTGACCAGGGCTCTGCTGGGGAGAGGGAGGTCAGCACGGGAGTTGCCTGGCTGGGAGGCCTCAGCTGCGGCCCAGGGCGCCAGGCGGGTCCATCACTCCTTAAGTGTGCTTACTTGTTTCTGGTTCTCAGATGTAGATGTGAATTAATTCTTTTTTTTTAGGATTTATTTATTTGAAAGGCAGAGTTTACAAAGAGGGAGAGACAGAGAGACCTTCCATCCACTGATTCACTCCCTAAATGGTTCTAGCGGCAGAGTTGGGCTGGTGTGAAGCCAGGAGCTTCCTCCACTCACCCACGTGGGTGCAGGGTCCCAAACACTTGGGCCATCTTCTGCTTTCCCAGGTGAATTAGCAAGGAGCTGGATTGGAAGTGGAGCAGCCAGGACTTGAACTGGTGCCTATGTGGGATGCCGGTGTCGCAGGCAGTGGCTTTACCCACTGTGCCACAGTGCCAGCCCCGATGTGAATTATTCTTTAGGCAGAGTGAATCTTGATGTGTTTGCAAGGAAAACGTAGTTTTTTCGATCCCATTATAGCCTTGTAATCCAATGATGAACTAAACAGTGCCAGGATGTTCTGGGTGGCTCGATCAGAGAGCACTTCAAGTCTTGCGGAGCCAGTGAGAGGATCCCCCATCCCTCGAGCGAGCAGAGATACCCTGGTGTCCCAGGAGCCTTGGCTGTCACTGAGACCTGGCCTTGCAGACAGAGCCATGTGGGAGACAGTTTAGTTCCAAGTGCCCCACACTGCAAATCCATCCGTATGTGTTGAAATGGCACATTTTCCTCAAAATTTCAGGAAGCCCGTCCCACCTGAGTGTCGGGGAGCAGCCGGATGTGACCCACGACCCTTACGAGTTTCTTCAGTCTCCAGAACCCGCAGCCTCTACCAAGAACTAGCCTCGTAGGTAGCCTTCAGTTGTTTCACTTTGTTGAGTTTTCACTCGCGTCTACAGTTTCGTCGTGAGACAAAGACTTACGTTTCCCGCTTTGGTGTGCGGGAAGCAGTCCCAGGAGGTGATGAACTGTCTGTGACATCACTGTCAGCAGCGCCGCTCCTGGGCACCGGGCCCCATTGTGTGGACTTTGAATAGTGGCAACCATATACAAGGGCATGTGGCTGGCTTGCCCCGAGCACCAGCGTCAGACGCGGGCAGGCTGTTGTCTCTGCACGCGTCTTGTTTCTGCCCGTGTCTGGTCATGGCCCTGGGAAACAGACCAGAGTGTGTGTGCTTGTGCTGAGTGGCCTGTGTCCCATCGCAAGCCCACATTTCCCAGGCAGTAGGGTCCCCAGAGGACAGCCTGAGGTGGGGCAGTCTCCTCGTTGCTGTTTGGACGAGCGTGGGAGAGGAGTGGACACAGTGAGCCTGTGACAGAAGAATCCAGTGTCCATGAAGCACATTGTAACTGGGTGTCTACTGGATGCCTGCTTACCTCTGCAAAGTGCTGTAAATACAGATCTTAATAAAGAGACATGTTCAAAGAGCCTACGGGAACGGTCGTTCGGACATGGCTTGGGGCAGCTCTAGGCATGCTCCTGTCCCTGTGACGCTGTGCTGTCCCTCGTCTGGCCTGCCTGTGTGTTGCCGGGGCCCCTGTTCCCATGCGAGGAGATGCAGATGTTAAGGACCCTTTATCCCAGGGCTGGGGACAGTTGGTGCTCAGCTGTGCTGGGGGAGGCGTGGCTGGGGAGCCTGGGGGCAGCAGGCAGTGCCCTGGCTGAAGCACTGGGCTAGGTAAGGGTCCTCAGGGAGGTCCCCCGTGGATGTTGGTAAAGGGGAACAAAATGTTTCCACCTGTGAATGAAGGCGCAGAAGGCAGCTGTGGCCCCTTGAGCAGAAACGGCTGGGAAAGCACACGCCCGGGGGCTGCACCTGTAGTGGTGGCCAGGAAGCACACTCCACAGCTCTGGCCTCCGACGCTGCCCCTGCTTACTCCCATGGCTGGACCCCAGGCTCTCCTGTACCCCTAGTCTGGGCCAGCACCCCAGCTGCCAGGAAGGCCAGGCAGTGGACTCAGAAGGCAGGACGGGCAGCCCTGCAGCAGGTCCTGGGGGTGCAGAGTGCTCTTCCCAGCCTGACTGGCACACAGCTGAGTCCTGCGTGCTCGGGGTGCACTGTGCACATCCTGCTGCACAGAGCCGGGACAGAGCCCGCCCTTCCTGGCCAGCACGGCCTCCAGCTCACGTGTGGTCCAGCCAGCAGAAGGCAGTGTGACTGCCACTCGAAGGTGCAGCAGCACAGTGGTCACATGGGGCGTTGGCAGCCCCGCCCAGACGCGGGCCCCAGCCTGACTCTTGCAGGAATCCGTCAGAACCCATTTTTTCAGTGGCATCTGGTACATTCCCAGTGTTAGCAGCCCTCCCCTCTTTGAAGTTCCAGAACATTCTCTAAAAGGAAGCCTCCCTCCACCCACCCCAGTGCCCACTGGCATCCATCCCCCCAACCCCTGCGAGCTCCTAGCAGCTATCCATCCCCTCCTGCAGCTGGACTGACCGTCCTGGGCATTGTGCATCAGTGGACCCTGTAACAGGTACCCTTTTGTGTCTGCCGTTTGCTGAGCATGCGTTCGAGGTTCATCCGTGTAGGACCGTGTACCCTGCAGCCGAGGCCGCTCTTCAGAGTACTGGCAGCAGTTAGGATGCCTGGGCACGGGCTGGTGCTACAGGTGCCCTGGCCAAGACCTACATACAGGGCTCCGGTTGGCTGAATGACTCGCCTGAATGGCAGGGTAGAGGGCTAGGCCTCCTGGCCGTTCTGCCCATGTCACCGCAAGCCGGCCCAGCCGGGGCCCCTCCTGCCTTGGTAGTGAAGCTGGGCCACGGCAGGCCGCTCCCCAGGGACTGGGCAGCCAACGCTGCATGATCAGATGCCTCCGAGCTCTTGTCCTTGGAGACTGCGCCTGAAACAAGACCCGTGAGGTGCATGCAGGTGTGTGCATGCGTGTTGACACGTGTGAGTTCACTCGCTCCCACAGCTGGACTCCTGGGTGGCCACCTGGCGAGCTGCCATTGTGCCGCACCCTTGACCTTCCTCAGCCTGGTGGAGACTTCAGGGAGTGCAGCGTTGTCTCGGGATCTCGGGTACGTGTGGAGCAGAGCTGAGCAGGTGCTCAGAAGCCTCGTCCCGTGCTGGAGAAACTCGGACTCCAAGGATGGCCGGTGCGGTGGTGGTCAGCCCTGACGCCACAGCAGCACCGCTCGTCGTGAAGCTGCTGCGTTTGCCTCTGCTGCACGCAGGGCGGGGTCCCAGCTGAACGCCCTTCTGCGTGTCTGCGTCCTGCATTTACGTGGAGCACAGCCCTGAGCCCATGCGTGTCTGCATCGTCTCCTGACGCCGTGAACAGCCAGCGTCGACTCCACCGCCACCTGCAGACCTGGGCTGCTCTGGGAGCCCCTCCAGCACTGCAAGGTCTCGGGGTCACAGCTGAGCAGCCCTGCCACTGGCCACCTTGTCCCGGACACCTAGCGTGGGGTCCCAGCAGAATCCCTGCAGCAGTCCTGGGTGGCAGTGGCTGCCCTGCACCTCGTTCATCTGAAGCCAGTCACGGCACCCTCCTCTTGAGAATTAGAAAACCTCGCTGGCCTGCAGTGGGGGCCACACAGCCACTGGGACAGTAGCCACGCAGTGTCTGAGGAGAGTTTCTCCAGGTCAAGTCCTTTGGAAGGTGGGCGTCTTGGGTGTCGGGCTCCCGTTTCTGGCCACTTGTGGTCACTGCTGTCATACCTTCCTTAAGCACCGTGGCCCCTGCTGTGCTGTGTTTGGGTTCTTGGGGGGTCAGATGCCCAGGCGGCCTGCTTATCTGCACTGGGTCTGTTTGGGGCATCTTGGCCCTGCACAGAGTGGGCTCCATCCCGGTGACCTTCCTCAGGATGATGGTGCTTGGCCTCAGGAGCGGTCTGGGACACTTGGCCAATCTGCTGGTGGGCAGGGGAGCCCCAGCGCTGCTGTCCCATGGACTCACAGGTGAGGAGGGTCTGGCCTGAGCAGCATGGGGTGGTGGGCAGTGGCATGGGTGGCCACCCCTGCAGGCTCCTGTCTGGTTGACATTTCAGGAGAGGCTGGACCGGAAAGTCTCGGTTGGTGCCCCATTCAGGCCTTCCTGGACCTGCCACAGGGGGTACTGGTGCCCAGGGCCTTGTGAGGCAGCCACCTCACTCCACTGCCTGGTCACCTGGCCCTTCTACACGTATTCCTGACTCCATGGGGCCCCTCAGAGGCTGGACATCCCTTAGGGTGGCCCTGCCGCAGGTGGGGAAATGCAAGTGCGTATCCTGTGGAGAGCGCCGGACAGCCTGACCTGGCCCTGCGCTGTGCCGAGCCCCAGCTGCCACCTGGGCAGTCACTGTTGTCCAGTGACCTCAACAGTGAATGCTCGTGAGCAGATGGTGTGCCCCACCAGGGCCTGTGAATGGCCTGCGGGGACCACACTTTTCTCCCACTGCCATAGAAACATTAAACCCTCAAAACCCAGCTGAGCTCCCCTAATTCAAGGGCTCTTTAGGGAAGGGGCCGGCCTGGCTGGCTGTGATCTGAGTGCAGCAGTGCTGTGCAGATTGGGGTTCGTACACATTCCTGGTTCTGTGAGTGTACCACCAGGCCCCCTTGAGCCTGCTGTGGAGGGGTTCCGAGAGGGCTGAAGCCTTCCCAGAGCTCAGCTGTCCATTGAGGCCAGAAGTGGCCGCCAGACCGTCTCTGGCAGGAAATGAGGGCTTTTTGAGAAGCCTCCAGTACACACGACTGTGTCTACCTGTGGGTAGCAGCTGCCAGCCCTGTTCTCTGCTCCCGTCTCGTGTGATGACCGCGGGTGTTTAGCCTGGCCTGGCTGATCCCCGGAGCTGGGTTCTGCTGCAGGTCTGGGTCCCGGGGCTGTGGGGGTGGGGCAGGACCCCAACAGAGGGCAGCAGTCATGGGGCCTGAGGAGAAGTGGCAGGACGTGAGGCTGGCGCAGTGTACCCCTAAGGCCGGGATTCCCACACAGATAAGGAAACAGGCAAAGGGTGGTGGGGCCTTGTGATGTGTAAGGTCCATACCTCTTAGTCTCAGCCCAAAAAAACTCATCTACCTCACAGTCTGGGGGCCTCATGACACCCCAAGGGATTTGTTACAGTCCTTCACTACCTGCTGCTGTCCCGAGCCCCTGGGTGTGGCGAGTCCTCTGCTAACTGGCTGTGAGCTCAGGTGGTCGTGAATCTCAGTGTCCCAGGTCCCTCGCTTGAGCCGTGAAGGAGAGGCTGCCACCCTGTGCTGGGCACCAGGCCTTGTTGAGTGCACACTGGTGGGAGTGTTGCCACGTAGACCTCACCTTGGTGCAGGGGTGCACTTAGGTGTGCAGCTTCAGCAGGGTGTGTGCAGGTGTTTTCACAGCGGAAAGAAACCTGTGTTTTCTTAAAGGATGCAGGTGTTAGGTCAGGACTGTGTGTGCTCACAGCACGAGAGAGAGGCTTGGCCAGGAGTGGCCATTTGTCCTGGGATACCTGCTGGCAGTAGTGTGGGAGCTGGCAGCTCTCCACGCCCTCTTCTCCCAGGACGCGGTCCTGAACAGAACGCTGAGTCCCAGGGGCAGTCATGTGCCTTCGCTTCCTCCTGCCCTGGATCAACCCTGCACGGCCTGTCCAGCCCAGTGACCTCAGAGGCATGTCCTGATGCAGCCAAGCTGCCCGGTGGGCAGCAGAGCCAGATGGAGCAGACTTCAACCTCCCCACGGCCCTGGCTGCAGACGGTGAGCACTGCTGGGGGCACGTGCTGTCCACAGGGTCAGCAGGTGGCCTGCCCTGGGAAGCAGGAGTCCTTGGACCCACAAATGGGAACCAGGTTGTTTGAAATGTTCACTCGCTTGAGAGGCAGAGACGGATCTCCCGTCCGCTCGCTCACTTCACAAATGTCTGCAACAGCCAGGCAGGGCCAGGCTGATGGCAGGAGCTGGGAGCTCCATCCCAATCCCACGCGTGTGGCAGGGAACCACGCACTTCAGACGTCACTTGTTGCTTCCAGCGTCTGCACTAACAGGAAGCTGGAATCAGGAGTGGAGCCGGGACGTGAACCAGACACTCCATCTAAAATACCCAACGGGTATTTTAACCTCTAGATTGAATGCCCACCTTGGAAATCTCTTGAACTTCAGATCGGAGACTTGGAGGAGGCTGTGGAGGAGAGCTTGCTGTGGGCACGCGTGTGGGCTGTTTCCTGGGACTGTGGACCCGTCAGGAAACACCACTGCACATTCGTCTGCCACAGGCCTCTCGTGGCCGCCGGGCGGGCAGGTGCAGTGGCCTGCCTCCAACACCAGCCCAGGCTTTGGAGTGAACAGCCCCAGGGCCTGACGGCAGGGAAGCTGCATCAGTGCCTCCGCCCACAGAGCTGCTGAAGCTGGAGTCGTGGAGCGGATGGCCTTTCCCTTCGGGGTGGCGGTGACAAGTTTTCCATCAAAACCCAGGACAGTAAATCAGACAGGCAGCTCAGCCTCCCAGGCCACCTGTGCAGTCC